TGCCGACTTTTAGGCGGAACAATTATTTCATGAAATCTAACTAATTCAAATACATGCGCTCTTATATTTAAGAATCGTAAACAAAACGTTGCGTTAAACATCTGAACAATTCAAATTCTGAAAGTTAATACTTCATCTTCTTTAATACAGTTTATAGTTAGAAAGGGAGGATAATGTTGTACCAATACTCAACAATTAAAAAAAAACTTTCTTTACAAATATAGATCTACATTTTCGTACTAAATTGTGGAAGTTGGCAAATGTTCACGTCGGTTGAATTGAATGAGTTTTTATACCCTACAACACTATGTGTTGGGGGTATTATAAGTTTGATTGGGCCAGAATTTATGTAACACCTCGAAATATTGGTTTCCCTTATAGGAAAGTATATATGGATCTTCCTAGCTCGCCTAGGTGAGTCGATCTAGCTATGTATGTCCGTCCGTCCGTCCGTCCGTCTGTCCGTCTGTCCATGTTAATTTGTAATCACTCTACAGGTCGCAATTATGGCCCGATCTTCACGAAATTTAGAATGGAGGTGGGTCTTAGGTCAGAATAGAACCCTATTTCTTTTGGAGATGATCGCATAATATTTAGGGGTTGAAATGGACCAAATACTGAAAAAATGTCGGATTTTGCAGTAGCTATACAGGTCGCAATTATAGACCAATCGACGCGGAATTTCTCATGTAGCTAGAGTTTAGGGCGGGGAAGAAGCCTAGCAATTTGGGTGGTCATCGGATAATATTTAGCGGGTAAAATATACCATATTTTTTGTGTTGAAAAAATTCAAAATTTTTCATTAAACCGCGAATATTTTAAATACCGGCGAAACCACAAAGCCATGACAAGGTTACTTCTGACCTTTACATTGATGTTAACATCCAACAAATCGGATATATAGCGAAATATGTGCGATATATATGTCTATCAAAGAAGATATGCTTGAAAGATCTCTTATATGTCGAGAACGGCTGAACTGATTTCGACAGTTCTCATTAATTCAGAATGGCCTCTTGGCAGGAAAGAAAAAACGTCTAAAAAATCGCATAAAAATATCTCCATGAAGATGAAAATATTGATTTTTTAAAATTTTCTCATATTTTTTCAATTTTGTCATATTTTTGGCATATTTTCATTTTGAATTAAACATTTGGTAATATTTCTACAGCTAACAAAACTAAGTAGTTAGGATATCAGGATATCATATACAGATCTCATTTATGGCCCGATCCTTACGAAATTTTGCATGGGGATAAGATGAGGGTCAGAATAGAAGCCTATTCTTTTTGGAGATGATCGCCATATATTTAGGGGTTGAAATGGACCAAAAAACTGCAAAATTGTCAGCAGGTCGTAATTATCAACCGATCCTCACGCACATTTGAATGGGGGTTACCGGACATTGCAAAAGCCAAATTAGTTTAAGTTGCTATTATTCGAAAATTAGAGAACGAAACCTGATGGTTTTCTTTATTATTTGGCGCAATATCTTGTGGAATTCTTTCGAGTATCTCGCCTATATAAACTGTATCATTTATTATAGTGTTGTAGGGTATTCAACGGTCGGCCCCGCTCGATTGTAGCCTTTGCTTACTTGTTTTGCTTTATATATATTTAACTCAAAATATTTATTCCATTTCGGTCTATTAAAACTACATGTCATCCGACCAATGTCATTTTTAATAATTTTAGTTCAAGTAATATTTATAAGATGGTCTTTTGTGATAATCCAAATGTTTTCTTTTGAAAAGAAATTATTCGACGAAAAAATCGATTAAGCACGTGCATATCATTCAAGAAACATGCATGTTTATTGTGTGTGGGATGTTTGAAATATTTGCATTTCGAAATATTTATAGAATTTTGTTTGGAATTTCGAAATGTATTATTTATTAATTCCTGTGATTTGAAAAATGTATAAATGATAGGCCAAAAAAATGAAAAGACATCGATAAATGTATATAAAGCTATAGAAGATTAAAAAAAATATTTTATGTGTGAACTGCGGCCTATTCTTAGAAAAACTCCAACAGAGCCTAGAGAGTAAGCCAATAGAGTGGGCCTATGAATGCTCTTCTGTTATTTGAATATCTGTTAAAGGTAATTTTTGCGAAGATCATAATTTTAAAGGTATTTTGTATATAGAATACCTTTTAAAGATTTATTACCTAAAATACCTTTTAGAAGTCTTATGTTAAAGGAGAACTTTGAAAGAACTTCTATATGTGGAAGATCTTTATAAATAGAAGCCCATTGCTTTTGGAGATGATCGCATAATAAATGTCACAAATTACTACAAAATCTACAGTAACATCACTATTGGCATCTGTTTATGTGATTTTTTTAGATCTTATTCTTTTATGCCAAGAGGGCATTCTGAATTGACAAATTTATCAAAATCGGTCCAGCCATTCCTTTATATATACATATTCTATATATTTCGCTATATATATCCGATATTCTTACTATTGGCATCTATGTAACGGTCAGAATTGACCCGTTTGTTTATTTGTGATCCTGCGGGGATTAAATACATTTGCGGTTTAATGGAAAATTTGACTTTTATTTAGCACAAATGTTATGGTATATTTCACCCACTAAATATTACCCGATGACCACTTCTGCGTCGATTGATTTACAATCGCGACCTGTAGAGCAACTGCAAAATCAGAAAATTTTTTAGTTTTTGGTATATTTCAACCTCTAAATATTATGCGATCATCTCCAAAAGCAATAGGCTTCTATTCTGGCCCTAGCTCAACCTCCGTTCTAAATTTCGTGAGGATTGGTGGTGGTTTTGGATTTTTTGGTATTGTGTGAACATATAGTGCTTGAATTCTGACATTTTGGTATTTGTAGTTTGGACATGTTTAAGTAGTTTCGGAAATGTGTACTACAAATGATATTAAATGGTACTAAATTTGGTATTGGGTAAAGGGATATGGCAGAATTCCTCAACTTTAATACTGAGGTCTTTGCTGGTGTCAGGAATTAAGATATGGGGATGCTTTTGGTATTGGGTGAAGGGATAAAGCTGGAATCCTCGCATTTGATGTGGAGGTTTCTGTTGGTATCTGGATTTAAGAGATGGAAGTGGTTTTGGAAATGTTTACTATAATTGTACTAAAGGTACTTTAATTTGGAGTCACTGCACAGGATTGCGATTTGGATATGGTTTTTGGAAATACGTCTAAAAAGTTCTAAATGTTAGAAAATAATTTATTTGGAGAGAGAATGAAATCTAAAATTTGGTATGAGGGTAATAGGTGTTGTGAAATATGTACAAACCAAGGCCATTGCAATTTTGGAAGATTTCGTTTCTAAAATGATGTCGTAGAGAACTGCCCGGACATTACCCTTGGCTTTTTGACCGGGGGCACTTAGCCAATTCAAAACAATTTCTCACGAAAGTTGTGGTCCATTTTACAGCTAAATATAATCCAATGGTCATTCAATATGCTCGACTTATTGCCTGTCCTTAATGCTCTCCTCTGGCAAAATTCCGCTCAGAAGTGACCTTTTAATGTATTTGTCACTTGGCCGGGTTAAATAATATTCGCTCCATTTTAAGCTCTAAATATTTTGCGGAAATCTCCAAAAACAATAGGCTTCTATCCTGAACCTAACCCCACCTTTAATTTCAATTTCGTGAGGATCGGGTCAACCAATTGCGACCTTTAGCGTTATTACAATTTAACATGGACAGACGGACATAAATACCTAGATCGATCCCGCTTGGCGAGATAGCAAGATCCATACGTTGTTTCCTAGGACGGGGACCAATATTTCGAGCTCCGAAAAAATAAAACATATATCTCATAACAAGTAAAAAGCTGTAAGTTCGGTCGGGCCGAACTTTGAATACCCTCCACCATTTGGTAAAAATTTGGCAATTTTCAATTAAATAAAATCCGTTAAAAATTCTGTTAAATTCTTAAAAAAACCGAATGTAGCCGGATATTAGGATCTATAAGACGACGTGGACCTGCATAGACAAATTTTGTCACATGCTATTACAATATTCAAATGCGAAACTTGAAAAAAATCTGTTTATAGTGTAGCTAAAATCATCATGGGGGTTATAAATGGACCTGCCCAGACAATTTTTTGTAATAGGCTGTAGTATCCATCACGAACTTCAAATGCGAAATTTGAAACAATTCCGGTAAATAGTGTCGCTAAAATCATCAAAATACCGCATGTCGGGAGGTACCGTTATATGGGGGCTATACGAAGACGTGGACCTACATGGTCCATTTTCAATACCAAAAGTCCTGCAGACATAATACACATTTAAGTAAAATTTTATCAACCTACTTCATTTCGTTCGGAAGCTAGAGTGATTTCCACAGACGGACGAACATTGATAAATCGACATAGAATGTTATACTGATCAAGAATGTATATACTTTATGGGGTCTAAAATGTATATTTCGAGATTTTACAAACGGAATGACAAACTTAATATACCCTCCATACTATGGTGCAGGGTATAAAACAAACTTTTACCTAATATAATCCAAACATGGTTACATTTATATCAAACTTGGGTAAGGAACCAGCATGGAAAATATGGGTCAATTTTTTCCCGTTCATTTCCCTAAAAGTACAAATGTTGTGACGCCAATGACTGTCATAAAATGTGTAATTAGTGTCGGTCTACCCCATTTGGTACCTCAAAGAGCCCACAAAGAGTCGAATTTTCGGTATCATTCCACGATTCTCTTCAATGTTCACAAAATTCTTTTTTTCACATCTAATGATCCCAATTTTTGTTATCAAAGCAAAATAACAAAAAATATTGTTCAAACACTATTTTTATTTGCTAGCAAAGGGTTAATGGCTTCGTTCACACATGTTGCTTCTTTGTCTTATTAAAACATACTCTAAATATAAACACACACTACATGTTCACTACATTAATAATAATTTGGGAGGGAAAATGTTTAATATGGTCGAGATATACGTATTTATAAATTATATTCATTTCTATTTACCTGTTGTTTAGCTTGAAGTTGGCATGCCGTCTCCGTTCTCGAAGCATTGTCGTGCATTATCATTTCCCATAGTATGAAATTATAAAGAGAGACCAATAATGGGGGGAAAAAAGAAAATGAAAATCAAAATAACGAAATCGATTGCCAAAAAAAAAAGAAATAAAAGGGAGGAGAAGTATTTCAAAAACAAAACAAAAAAATACATTCAAAAAATTAGGGAAATTAAATGAAATATGATTTCAAATTTAAGAGATTTTAAGAGAAAAGTGAAAAAAAAATCAATTCAAGAGAATTATAATATTTTTAAAATCAAAAGAGAAAGGAAAACAGTGTGGAGAAAAGTAGAACAAGAAATAGAAGAAAACACATTTCCATTTGTTAGTTGAATTAATTTTTTGAACGTGTAAGTTTATTATGACTATTGGTTTATGTTTTGTTTATATTTTGTCTTCTTTTTTGTTCTTTTTTTTTTTTTTTTGAGAGCGAGGGAGAGAGAGAGTGGTGGATACTTTGACGAGGTGATCTCTATGTATGTTTGTACGTTTGTTTGTTTTAAATTTTGTGATTTGTTTTCATTTTCATTTGTTATATTTCAAATATCATGTTTTGCCTTCAAGTCATCAAAACATTTCACTGACACTTATTTTCACAACATCTTAACTGGTGATTAATGCCGATTTGTTTGTTTTTGAAATAGGGGACGGTGACGATGACGACCAATTGCGAACAGATTTTTCAATGCATGTAAGCATTGAGAAACAAAATTCATAGGTGATGAAAATCAAATGTGATATTTTATTTTGTAGAACAAATGTTGTTGGTGCGTAGGAAATCGTCATATTTATAAAATTCACTCAATATATATAATACCCTCAATCGTCATAGTTACTTTTCAATCTTTATTCGCAAATACCAAACTTCATTAGGCTCTATCTGTTCATATAATGCCAAATGGTACCATTTTAGAAGTTAAGTACGATTTAAGAACTTTTCGTACACTTTTTGTACCGAATTTTAGTACTATTTAGTTTTTTTTTTGTGCACTTGTAATACGCATTTCTAAAACAACCTCTTTGAGACAAACCTACCACCGAACTGTTTTAAATTTATTACCGTTTAGTGCGGTTTCCACACTTGGTGCATTTCCAAAACCACCCTCATATATCAAAATTAATTTCCTACATTGATTCTAATACCAAATTTCAAGTCAGTTCACATAATACCAAATGGTACCATTTTATAACTTTAGTACCATTTTAGAACTTTTCGTAACCTTTAAGTTCGAATTTCCGAAAACCCTTTGGTACATCTATCCTGAACTCCATGAGTGATTCTTATTCTGTATTTCAGAATTCTAGCTCATTCTTTTTATACCCTCCACCAAAGTATGGAGGGTATATTAAGTTTGTCATTCCGTTTGTAACACCTCGAAATATACATTTTAGACCCCACAAAGTATATGTATTCTTGATAAGCATAAAATTCTTTGTCGATTTATCAATGTCCGTCCATCTGTCAGTCTATCCGTCTGTCCGTCTGTGGAAATCACTGTAGCTTCCGAACGAATTGAAGTAAGTTGATAAAAAATTACTCAAATGTGAATAAATGAGCCATGTGGGCCTACGTCTTCGTATAGCCCCCATATAACGATACCCTCCTATATTCGGTATTTTGATGATTTTTGCGACATTATTTACCCGAATTGTTTCAAATTTGATATTTGACGTTCGTAATGGATACTAAAGCCTGAGACACAAAATGAGCCATGCAGATCCACGTCTTCGTATAGCCAGCATATAACGGTACCCCCGATATTCGGTATGATTTTAGCGATATTATTTACCGGAATTGTTTCAAATTTGGTATTTAAAGTTCGTAATGGATACTACAACATATGACAGGAGATTGTCTGTGCAGGTTCACGTCTTCGTATAGCCCCCTATAACGGTATTATTATTATTATTATTATTATTATTATTATTATTATTATTATTATTATTATTATTATTATTATTATTATTATTATTTTTATTATTATTATTTATTTTTTTTATTGTTATTATTTTTATTATTACTATTATTATTATTATTATTATTATTATTATTATTATTATTATTATTATTATTATTATTATTATTATTATTATTATTATTATTATTATTATTATTATTATTATTATTATTATTATTATTATTATTATTTTATTATTATTATTATTTTTATTATTGTTATTATTTTATTATTACTATTATTATTATTATTATTATTATTATTATTATTATTATTATTATTATTATTATTATTATTATTATTATTATTATTATTATTATTATTATTATTATTATTACTATTACTATTATTATTATTATTATTATTATTATTATTATTATTATTATTATTATTATTATTATTATATTATTATTATTTAGTATTATTATTATTATTATAATTATTATTATTAATTTTATTTTTATTATTATTATTATTATTATTATAATTATAATTATAATTATTATTATTATTATTATATTATTATTATTATTATTATTATTATTATTATTATTATTATTATTATTATTATTATTATTATTATTATTATTATTATTATTATTATTATTATTATTATTATTATTATTATTATTATTATTATTATTATTATTTATTTATTTTATTATAATTATTTTTTTTTTCTTTGAGAATTTCCAAATTCATTCGAAATGATGGAGGTTTTTCACACTTAGTCGATCTTACTGCTTTTTAACTTGTTTTTCTTAACATTTATTTACTGTTTTCAAAAACAAAATTTATTGCTTTGGAAGCCACTGTACAAGGGTGAGCATCTGCAGTGTAGGCACTTTTCGTTTATTTCTTATGTTCTTCATTGTATTTTGCACACTATTCTGATACATTCTCGTCTAAATATTTTCAGTTTCTGTTTTCAAATAAACCACCACTTTACACATGTTTGATATTGCAGGTGTAATAAATTATTTCTGCAAAAATAATAAATATTTTTATGGCCAAAAATTCCAGATATTTTAGAAAATAAACTCAAAATTCATTTCGACCCACTTATTTTATGGAGAAGTCCTTACAAAGTTGTTGCAATATATTTTTGTTTTTAAATGTAACTCAATAACTAAAATATGGACTTACTCAGAATCGTAAAATGAACTCATAAGGAAATGGCTGGTTACAAAAATCTTAGGAATATTTTAGTTCTTAAAATATTTCTTGTTTGTATTTTTCTATATTTTTATTTGTTCTATCGAGGAAGAACAAAAAATTTGAACTGAACACATCACATTAATTTTGGTTTTTTTTTTTTTTTAAATTCGGTACACAAAATTCACATAATTTTTCGATTTAGTTATGGTTTTTAAATAAATACTGAATCTATTTTTATTTTCCAAAAGGTAATTTGTGGAAATTAAAACACCATTTAATTAAGTTGTTTACTGATTTTAAGTGAATTTAAATAAATACTAACGGCCATTTTCATCACAAAATGCCACTAAATTTGAAAATTTTCGATTTTCCGTTTCGTCGTTTACTTGTTGTTGGGTATTCGATTCTAATGGGAGCCAAACAGCAATAGTTCCAATTTAACACGCACGCGACCAAATACTGGCCATTAGTCGGGCTATTCTGAAATTCATCTATGATGCGCCTTGCAACTTTCGGCATGCGTTTTGTTGTTGTTGTAGCTGTTGGATTGTTTGTCGTTTTAGGCGGATTTAATTTTGCCTATTTCGTTGTTGTTTGTTTTTTTATTTTGGTTTTGTAAAATATGTCTGTAATTACGAAAATATACATTTCAGACAGTCGTTTCGGCAAACGCACCCATACACACATATATATGCGTATCTTGTTATTTTTTTCCGTTTCTTTTATTCCTTCTCCTCGTTTAGAAAAATGTTTAAACAAATCTCTTGTAAAGCATGGAAAAACGCATAGCACACACACACACACATGCACGGGCTAACAACAACAATGCAGCATATTTTTTTTTTTTTTGGTGCCGTTTTCTTTGGGGTAACGCAATATTCAGCTATGCTACCGTGACGATGCTTCTGCTGCCAAAAAATGTGCTATGCGTATAACACACGAGATTTTGTTGACCAACGAACCAAACTAAACGCCAATCTTTGCCGACTGACGACTGACTGCAAAGCGAACACACAGGAAGAAATACGTTTATAATTTGCTCTAGAAAAATTTAAAGTCAACAATAAAACAATATGTTTAGACAAAAATTGCCAGCCAGAAATGTGTGCGTAACAATTTGTTGTTGTTATAACAACAACTAATTTATATGGATACCAACACACACACACACACTCGTATATAATTAAATACGTAGATCATACGTCTTTAATTCTGTTTGTGTGAGTGTGTTCGTTTGTTTCATTGATGGAGAGAGACCAAACAATTGTTGTTTGCATACGTACCGGTTGGGGTGGTGTTGATATACAAATGATAATATAATAGGGTGCCTCAACTCATGTAGTAAAAGTCACAAAGTGTTTTATTCAAAAAATTTGGAACCAAAGTTAAAGGGACCCAATGGGATAATAAATTCCAAAGCTAAAAGTACATTAGAGCTACCCAATGAGATTCCCAGACAGTTAAGATCAGTAAAAACTAGAAGCTTATCAATTTCAAATTTCTTTAAAAAGAGGGAAGAAAACGAAAAAAAAAAAACTTATTGCTTACACCTGGATAGGATGAAAATATCTGAACCGATTTTAAGCAAATATGAATCTAAATTAGGTTTTACGTGCCAAAAATTCACTTAATTTAAGCTGATATCAGCTATTTGGTGTACAATAAACAAGAAATCGGATACTTAGTAGTGCTCCCGTAACAAAAAAAAAAAAAATATTTTAAGTAGATCATACCACCTATCATCATTTGGCTTTAGAGCAGTTATAGTTTGTCCCGAAATTCACTCCATTTGGGCTAATATTAGCCGTTATTTGCACAATAAACCTAAAGTCGGATAAAGATATATATGGGAGCTATATCTAAATCTT